CCATCCATCCATCCATCCATCCATCCATCCATCCATCCATCCATCCAGAATGAAACATCCGCCCTTGTTGCCCCGCTTCTTTCCAACATCATTCTTCCATAAGAGGATGACCAGCGGTTAGTTACCAGCTAATTTGTTCTGATCAGGTTGTCACTTTGAGATATCACTTTGAGAATCTTTGAGATACTTTAGTCTTTCTTTAAATCAACGCGACTGCACATGGACGGCATGTCGTGTGGCAGGTCAAGGTCCTCTCGCAGTTGCAGGTGCTTAAGATCTTCAATGCAGGCGGAGCCATTGATGGCGCCTTTTCGGTGAATCGATGTTGACTTTCCCTACGATCCCATGGTCCAACCTGGAAGTGGAAAATCACGTTCCTTGTATAGCTTGGGGTCAGCTGGCTGCTAGCTTCCCGAACTATTTGAGGGAGAGGTTGGCGCGATCTGAAAGAAAGAAAAAGGACACAACTCCTAGGAAAACGACAAGTCTTGATGGTCGTTCTCTTCAGTGGTTGTCTATATCAAAAGGCATCCAGTATATAGGTGCCCAGATATATAGGTGCGGAGAAATACACCATGGTCACGATCTCCAGTTTTTGTTGAATCAGACCCCGCGAGGTTTGAATCAACTGCCCGAGACCTTGTGGAATTGCAAAGAGCTGCGACAGCTGGACATCGGAGCCAACCCATTGCATCTCAGCAACCGGACGTGGGAAGCCAATAGGTTTGGACCGGGTGACGATCTGGCTTTTCGTCATGAAACGCAGGGTTTTTGAGTCAAAAGCGGAGTCTGTTGAAGTGCTTGATGGCAGGGAAGCCCACACAGAAACATGCAAGCAGCTGCAAGCAGCTGTCTTTTCAACCACCCCAGCACCGCTGTTTTCAACCACCACACGTCACGTCACCTTCCATGCGTCACCTTCTTGCACAGAAAACACTCCCTGGAACTAACGTGGAAGTTGGATGGCATGGCCATTCCGAACCCAAACAAAGGGTGAACTCACTCCACTTCCACCATGTGAGTTCCAGGTGAGTTCCGTCATGTCACGCTCCAACATGCCATCCACAAGGGCCGGCGCGCTGCCGGCCGCGGGGCTAGCCGCGCACTTGACCTCCTTGGAGATCCTCTTCGCCGCGAAGATCGGGCTGAAGGAGCTTCCCAACTTGGCCGACTGCCCCAAGCTCCGGATGTTAGGCCATGCTCCGGGACGGTGGACGTGTGGTGATTGACTGGGGAGCGCGGTATGATCGATCTGCATTTACAGCTATGTAATCTGAATGTTTGATTGGGGAGAAAGCACATGTGATTTGTTTAGAGCTGTAAAGAAAACGAGTGACAGGTCATTTGGGAGTGCAAAGAAAGGAATGTTGCTGCAGCTTGGGATTGCAACTTGATGCCGATTGAACAGATGGGTAGGTACGGTCCACCGCGGTCCTCTCTTTTGAGACAACAAGTCAAATCTGAACCAGCAAACCAATTAGACGATGTATTGAACACCACAAACCCTAGAGGTCAAGGGTCCAATCAGAAGATAGGCGTGTATGAACAGACCACCTGGCCCTGGCTGCAGTCTGCTGGTGTATTTCCCTTCTCCTTCCTCGCTCGGAACGCCCCGCCACGAACCACCCATGACGGATGAACTGCCAGGGACGGCCTGAAGCTGTGACGGATGAAGAACCGGTCGATCGATGACCGGGCTTTTGGTGTTTTTTGAAGCCGCCGATTCGCTTCTCGGCGGCTTCTCAACTGCTTCCCATTGAACAGTGGGGCATCGATATGTATATAGGCCATGCTACAGGATGGCCTTGCACAGTGGGAGACTTCGTCCGACTCATCTTGAGTCATCCACTTTTTGGCATGTCGAACATCACTGATCCTGTTGGCCTGTGGTGTTGGGTGTTGCTGAGTTGACTGTCGTTTCGCTTGAAGGCGTGCTTACTCTTTTTGGGTGATCACTGGACTGACTGGAGCTTTGGGAGATACCAGAACTCACTCGTCAGCCTGGTCAGTTTTGCTTGAAGGGGTTACTGGATCTCCGTTCGCCTAAGATGATAGCTCCCACGTAGAATCGTTCAATTTTTAGTTTGCAGGTTGGTCTTTGGAGGGTACCTGCATACTCCGAACCCCCTGACAGCTTGCAGGAACCGGGTCATGACCGTGGGCTGAGTAGTTCGGCCACAGTTCAACGGCCATGACCGCACCTTTCGCTATGCGCGCAGGGGTCAAGGACAACCAGCTGAGCAGTTTGGATGGAAGCCTTTTGCCCGACACCTTGGAGTGGCTCATTGCAGCAAGCAATCAAATCAGCCACTGGGGACGCATGCGACCAGCATGGGGGAGACATTTAAAACACCATTCTATATCTATTTGGTACACCATCAGTTGTATGGCGATGTGAAGTAGGGACTGACCGGTCCCAGGGTCCCCAGGGTCCGTCACCGCACCCACGTGTCGCGCCCACCAGCTCGGTAGAAGGACATGGTTTTTCTCGCCTCGGGAGCCATTGGGAATCGCAAGATGAGGAACATGATTATCATGACTAGAGTTCATGACTAGATGAGGAACATGACTATTTGTGAACCTAATTCTTTCTTTTTCTTCTGGTCACTTTCTCAAGTTCTGGTTCACTATATCCAGCACAAGACCATGGTCATCGACCAGTCATGGATGACCCTATCCCATGGGTGTCCAATCGAGATCCCTAAGTAGTCCAGCCAGGGCATCCATTGAATAGTCCTGGTGTATATATATATACATTTATATAACATGGCATACTTTATAATGATATATATATAGCTATGGTGAATGACTCTTCCTAGTTTCTTCCCGCTTTTTGTTCCGTCCCGCTTTTTACATGGAATACTTGGTTTGGCCGGTCGACCTCGATGGATGATGGGAAGGACATCAGCAGGTTCAACCGAACTGGCCGACCCAGCAGCGTCCTTGCCCTCAGGAGCGATCTGACTCCCAGCCTGTTTCCCGATGTTGAAGCTTTCCAGGATGAAGTCAGATGTGCCTCAGCGGTGTCTCCATTGTTTGGTCTTTCTCGGCTGGTTCTTCTCTTCGAACCAGGCCCTGAGCGCAAGAGTTCACTCGCCTGGAACTCTGAAACCCTAGAACTCTTGCACTCCTCGGCTATTGCTCCCATGTGCTCCATTCTTTTGTTCGCACCCCATGAGCACCCCGTGTGCGGTGCGCGTCGTTTTAGTCGCCAGGTGCGCTGCAGAACATGGCGCGGCTGAAGAGGGTGTCCTGGTCGGTGAAACCAGCGATGGAAGACGGGCCAGGTCTCGTGACCGAGGTGATCGGCTTGGAGCCATCGGTGGGACTGAGTCTGGAGTGTAGCCAAATGTCGTCATCCTTAGAATCGGGGCCCAAAGCAATGCATAGGGTATTGATGCTCCGGACCCCTGCGTTTGGTTGCAGAAGGTCCGACCCATCATCATCATCGGGGGCCCGAAATCGGAGTCTTAGGGCAGAGAATTTCTGGCTATTTCCTACATGTCTTCTCAAGAGCTTCTTTTGGCAAGGGGAAAAGAAGAAATCCTTCATCAGCTGCAATTCTCATAGAATTATCCAAACAGTTGTGCTTCGTTGCCCTGAATGGGGCGCATTCGCCTCGCATCCATCGAGGCGTTTATGTCTTTTTGGCAGATACCACCTTTTCATGGCTCGGGTGCCTACCACTTGGATGGACACATCTGTGTTTCCTTGATCATCGTTGATCTCTGTGTTTCGAACCCAAGACACAGAAGACATCGCCCCGTTCACCGCATCTCTCGTTCGCCCCCATTCTAGAACGGTCGAAGGCGAACGCTGTCCTTCGTGGCACCGGTCGTGGCACTGTCCTTCGTGGCACAGGTTCGGAAGCTCATGCTGAGCCACAACCAGCTCACCTGTGCCACGTTAGCTCCCGTGGCCGCCATCGAGGCCCTCGAGATGCTACGGGTGGCGCAAAACCGTTTAGAGGCGCCGACCAGTGCGCGACCCGTGAAGAAGTGCGCGACCAGAAAGGGCTGAATACCTCAACCAGTTGTAACATCTGCCCAAGTAGATGTGCAGTCTGATGTATGTAAAGTAAAAGTCTGCTGGATCTTTCAACAACTGACCTCTTCACTCAGAGCACCCTGCTCTAATGAGGATCAGAGAAGTCCGAGGTGGGCCCCAGGACTTCTGGTTGTTTGTTTCCGCTTCTCATGCTTGCCATGCCTGGCTCGCAAGGCCTTCCCGGAGGCTCTGCTGAAGCACAAGCGCTTGGCTTGGGTGGCCTTGGGTGCCAATCCCATGGCTGAAGAGGCTCTCGAGAGGCATCCGGCGAAGGGGTAGATGCCGTGACGGCCCAAGGATGGTTCCATGGACATAGAAACAGCCTTAGAGGATCTTAGAGCTATAGTAAACTACATCAAAGCATCAATAATAAATATCACTATTTGACATGCTTTGATATGGATTGGTGAACCTCCCTTCATTTCCGGAGACCAGGAAACGGGCGGCAGGTACCGCGTCGCGGTAAGCTGACACGGCGGATCAAGTCGCGCCGATACGCACACAAGTTCTAACATGTTCTGATGGTTTGACCGAAATGGGGTCCCTGATACCATAGACTGCAGACTTGTGAGCAGGTATGGTGGGGCAATATTTCGGGCGTGGATCTGTCTAATCTCTGCTCGGTGGATGGTGCTTTTGCCGTGTGAGGCACCTGGCCGGCGGATTTCAGAGCTTGGATTTCAAGGAAGTGAAGCCTCTCAGAGAACAACGTTTTTTCGTGTTTTTAGCAGTCGGGCTGGGGTGGGGAGGGTACGCTTTTGGGAGAGCTTGCAAAAGTTCAAAGAGAAGTGGAGAGACTCAGATTGTCGGGCCCTCCAATTCAATGAAGCCACGCACTAGGAGCTTTTTAGTGCTCGGATCGTCTTGAGGTGCCCCGAAGGTGTTCACGGCTGCCAAAAAGGCCGCCTCTTTTTAGAGGGTGCAGTTGGTCTGAATTGGGCACATTGGTCGAAAGTTATGGAAAACCACACTCTTTCAATGTTTATCTCACTCTCTCTCTCTCTATATATATATATATATATATGATGTAAAGCAGCTGACTCTACCGGGAAGTCTCCAAAATGGCTGTTAGAGACTTCAAAGGTATCCATTGGCGACGTTTTTGGGAGTCCGACAAGCTGAAAGCTTTGAGCTTTGAACTTTTGAAGCTACAATAAACGCTTCTTGTTACTACTAGTAAGGCACTTGTTACTAGTAGCGATGCACTTGTTCCTAGTAGCGAGGCACTTGTTTTGACCTCTTCGAACCTTCAACGCCTTCAACGCCTTCAACGCATTCGTCCAGGTTGGGTGAAAAGCTGGGCAGCGGCGCTGGAGCAACCGTCTACCAGGGTGACTGGCACGGCAGGAGACGGAGACAGCGGAGAGGGGCGGAGACGGCACGAGTGGTGCCCTTTCGATGGCAAGAGGTGTCTGAACTCATTCTCGTGGAAGCCACATGACGGAATCGCCTACCCTTTTTCAGAAAACCTGCTGATGCGGCCGTCAGGTGGAGGGAAAAAGGGAAGATGCCCAAACAGGGCGCTCTTTTGCACTCACGGAGCAGATCCTCTCCGCACCCCTCCGCACCATCGCCAGGACGGTGGCGGTGAAGATCTGGGAGGCCGAGACCTTCTCGGACGGCACCGCGCTCTCCGAGTGGGCGGCCAACCGGGTGGCCTCGGTGCCCGGGCATCCAGCGCTGGTGGAGGTGCTGGGGACCTTCGAGGATCGGACGAAACGCCGTGAAGTGCGGTGTCCGTTCGTCCGTTAGGTACCGAAAACGCTCAAAGACACTACACCAGCTCAACCGTTCCTTTAATGGTCTTTGAAGGCTAGGGTGTATATGAAGGGATGCTTCGTGCGAGTCCTGGGTGGAGATGGTGGGTGTCTGACGTGCCAACCGTGACGAGACGTGAGCGAACTTTTTAGATTTGGTTCAAAGAAATACAACCAAACCTCGAAGGGTTTGGGGGTATACCCAGATGCTCCGTGAGTTCACAGCTCCACTCTAACAATGCCAGGCACCGGAAGCGCTAGGCTTCCATCCACCAGTGATTTCATGGTCTGAATACCAAACAACCGTTGTTTTACTTAAAGGACTTTACATCATAACACCAGGTCCACGATTTTATTGGTCAAACGGAAGCCAAGCCTAGGGGATGTAGGAAAAACGCTGGTCCCACACTTGGAACGCCAGGAGCCCAGAGGAATGATCCTGGAGCTACTGCCCAAGGCGAGGTGATGTTCAGGTCTTCGAGGTGACCTTCAATCGAAGATCTAGAACCCCTCAAAGGCAAAAAGTTCGATAGGAGATTTGCTGCAGGCTGCTGCCACCACTTGGATAGGAGATTTGCCCACCACAGGGAGGGGGGATCGAAGATCCAGGATCCACCTCGCAGCGAACTCACATGACTTGCTACGGAATCCAAGGCTCGCTCTTCCACCGCTTTCACGGAATCCAGGTCTTTGGGTGGACACGGGGGGAACACGGAATCCACGTCCCCAAGACATCGATGCCAAGGAGGGGGAACGACACCCACCGATTAAACCTGCGAGTGGTGGGTGTCATTGGATCGTTACGAAAGGGATGATTTGAACCTATCTGAACCATGTATTGAACCCCATCTAACTCATCTAACTCATCTATGCAAGTGAAACCACCAACCCGTGGATCGGGTGGGACAGGTGAAAAAGCTTCACATTCCGCGTGGAACGCTTCATTTCGCCATCGATGTATACACCTCTCCGCCCTCGGCGGAAACCACGCTTCAGAGGTTTAGGTGTAGCCCCGTTTCAGTGAACTGCAGAGGCCACCATTTTGAAGAATTCGCTGCGTGCTTTGACGATGTACCGCCGGGTGAGAAAGCTTCTCTCTCTCTCTCTCTGTCTGTCTCTGTCTCTCTGTCTCTGTCTCTGTCTCTCTGTCTCTCTCTCTCTCTCTCTCTCTGTCTCTCTCTCTCTCTCTTTTTTGCCTCATGTGAAAGTGAATGATAATGATTTCCTTTCCCTTCCTCCTTCCCTCCCGCTCCCGCTCCCGCTCCCCTCCCCAGCTATGCAAATCCTCCGTAGCTCCCTTTCGCCGCAGGCCCAGGCGGCCGCGGCGCCCCCGAGCTTCGCCACCGTGACCCGCGACGCGCTACCGCAGCATGGTGGAAAAGGCACCTGCTACACGCCCTCCGCGGCGAGGCAGATTGCCGTGCGCGTGAGCGGCGCCGCGGAGTATTTGCACCGCAAAGGGCTGATGCACGGAGAGACCTGGCAGGGTGTGCGGTTGCGTGGGTTCGTGGCTGGTAGGATAGTCGGATCTGGGTGGCTTTCAAGCAGAGATGACGGGAAGGATACTCCAAATTGAAGTGATTGAATCAATGGTTGGCCTTGATGACGCAGGTGAAAAAACCTGCGCCTGAAGGGAAGACACGGATTGAACCCAAGAACGCGAACTCTTGCGCCCAAAGTATCTTCTGCGCTTCGTTGGGGTACATTGGGCACCTGCCATTGACCAGAATCTACGCGGCCCATGCAAATCCAGCACGGGACGATGCCCGAGTGATGCATCTGATCATCTGATGTCAGTTGGGATTGGTATGAACTTCTCAGTCCTGGACCCTCAAATTCCGGTGTTTCCTCGTGACATGTGCCCAGAAACCACCTCTTAGGGTGTAATGGAAGGTCCTGGTGGTTTTCATTGGGGAACGACCCCTTTGACTGGGAGTAGGTGAAGGCTACACTTGGAGATGTCAAAGTCGCATCATGCACATCACACACATCGACACCCCCCCCAAAAAAATGGTAAAATGGGGGTTCTGGGGAGTTTTGGTTCATCAATCACCTCGTTGAATGTTCTTGGCTCTTGAACACTTGTGCTGAGCCTTTGTCGTTTTTCTGGGGTCTTGTTATGCGTGTTTTAGGGTCATAACTTTCACTTCATTGTTTGGATTGAATGAAGGGGATAATTGTTGAGGTGGTCAGAGTTTCTATGTGTTGAGGTGGTCAGAGTTTCTATGTGTAGCTTCAGGTTCAAATTCTACCAAGCTGTTCTTCAAAATGATGTCGAATTATTTGCTTCAAATTCATGTATTGATTGAGGTTAGGCGCTGTGGTTCCTGTTTGGTTTTGCATATCAAGCATCCTTCAATCCAAAGCCAGTTTGGCACAAATTGACTGAACCGATGTATTGTCCTTTTTCTTTGACATTCAGCAGATGCATCTTTGTCAGGCAGGTTCAGCTTGCGCCAGGCCGGTTTGTCCTTCCAAGCGGTCATGCACGAACACAGCCTGCAAGGGCTTTTGCGGCGCAGACCGTTAAAACTGGTTGGACTTTGTTGAGCACAGGGAGCGTCGTAGTGCTGGTTCTCCAAGCTCTCATTCAAAGGTTCCTTCCTGGCTTCTTCATGAACAGGGCAGTGAGGAAGGCTGGGCAGAGGCTGAAAAGGAAAGAGCCCGCCCCTGCACGGCCTCTTGAGGAGGAATACATCAAGGACTTCATCAATTTACCTCAACGTGCAGCGTTGAGCACCCCTTCCTTCTTGGTGGTCAGTGGTTCCCAAAGCATTAGGAAATCAACCATGCTGACCAATCTCACGTGTGAGCATGTGAAGAGTGGCAAAAGGGTGCTTCCTCTTGATATTTCTGTTCGTCCTGGTGAGGACTTGAAGCTCAACGAGGCGCTGCCCCAAGCCTTACAAGCCGTAGACTTGCCCCGATATTACCCGTCAAATGTCAAAATTTTGCTGGAAAAGGTGAATGAGACGTCCAAGCGCCGAACAGGCAGTGCTGTCGCGGTGTACCTGCACTTCACAACCAAAAGCCGCGGAGACGAATTTAGTAGGGATGCCTGTGATGACATTGCTTCCACCCTCGGTGCCTGCGCTCGCAACATCACCTACGACAATGCCGCGTGCAAGTTCATTTTGGAGGTCAGCGTGTCTGCGGTGGCGGACATCGTCAAAGAAAGGTTTGACATGTCAAGGCTGGTGGTGGTGCGACCCCTACCTTTCCAAGACTTCACGTCTGTGGTCAAGGCGATCGCAAAGCAGGGAAACGACTTCCGGACGCTGAACAAGGTACTTGCCGACGAGGACATCGAGCAGGTGTTGAAGCACTACGACATCCGCGCAGGGGGCAACTTCCGCGCCTTGGGTGAGATACTGGAAAACGTCTCCAGAGAAGGTCAGAGAGGCGATGCGGTCATCAAGCAGGTTGAGAAGTGGTACAAGCGGAGGGTGCAACCAATTCAAAAGAAGTTTCATGACCAGGAAGTGAAGGACTATCTCCTTAAGGTGGCAGAGGCAGGACCCATGGGGTATCTCGCAGAGAGCGACGAAGAGACCAACATGGAGTTGAAGCTTCTTCGTGAGGAGCCAGCAGACTGCGTCCTGAGGAGCACAACCAATGTAAGAGTGGCTTTGAAGCATTGGCATTTCGTCGCCAAGCTCCTTCAAGAGGATGAGCAGAAGTTGAGGGATGCAGGATACATGTGAGCTTCGCCAGTGAAAAGAGCTGTGGCGCTTGAGATGTTTTGTGGGTGAGTCATCCAAGAGCAATTTTCACACATTGCATGCATAACCGCAGATACCCAACCCTAGTATCAATGATACCCAGATACCAGCATCTAACTATCAACGATACCCACAACCTAGTATCAATGATACCCAGATATCAATATCTAAAGTATCAACGATACCCAGAGCCTAGTATGAACTATACCCAGATACCAGTATCCAAGTATCAACGATACCCACAACCTAGTATCAATCAAACAAAAATCCAAGTATCAACGATACCCAGAACTAAGTATCAATGATACCCCGATACCAGCATCCAAGTATCAATGATACCCAG